TTAATAAAAATAATACCATGGCTGTTTGGATACACAGGCATTGTACAAATATATTCACCAGAGAGCTGGGATCGACTGCAATTTTCTATAAAGTGTACCCTTGGTTGGAAACCCAAATTTCAAATCATGGGATGTGTGGCGAGTCCTATATTCTTAGTTCCTAATAGGAATTCCACGGGCAAGCATGGGGGGAGGGGGAGAGGGATGAAATCATTTTTATTATTACCATTTGTTTGTTTGTTTGTTGTTGTTGTTTATTGGCTGTGATTCCATTTGAAAAGAACATTGTACCATTGAACCCACATCATGCAGGAAAAGGTAGCAGGCAGATTACAAACAGAATTTACATTCACAAAGTCTCTACTTGAAGTCACCTTCTGGCTGCTTCCGAAGGTGCCGCATGCATTCCGAAGAGGAAAAAAAAGAGCATTTTGTTCGTTTGTTTCGTTTCACTTATTAGAAAATGCCCATCTAGTTAGTGTTCTGCGCTTTTTTATTATTAGTATTATTAGTATTACGCGAGTGTGAAAACAAGCATTGTTTAAAAAGACATTTACTGAAAGATGTTGCTGACTGAGCACATAGAACCAGAATCTTGGTTAACACAGAATAAAACGGATACAGGTAAACGGGTTCAGAGAGATACATAGGACGTTACATTCAGATCACAACAATGGAATTCCTAACAACAATTGGTTCTAAGAGCCTGTTCGATTGATGTACTGAACATCACTGGTATGTTGAAGGACTGGGCAGATGGAAACTAAGCTAACATATTGTACCGGAAACATAGACAGAGGAATGCCGAAGGGATTTAGCACACAATGCAAGTTTGTTCGTTGGTTCGTTTAAAACACAGAATAGCATTCGTAATGAATATTGCAGTCTGATTTCATATGGCTTTCTCTAAAGATATATGCATGAAGCTCAATGCCAAACTCACTCGTAATCCCCTGGCCTCCCCCGGAAGCGAAGGCCTTTTGATTAATGCTGCTTTAATTTATTGATTGTTTAAAAATAAAACAGAAAGGCTTTGGGAGAGGGAGGTGAACAAAATGCAGAAATGGGGAACTGCCCAAGCTTTCCATATCAATACAAACTATTTTTTTCTTAAGGAAAAAAGAAACCCATATACCTGAGATTGAACATATTGTGATTTAATTCTTTTTTTAAAAAAAAATAATAATAAAAATGCTGTGGAAGGAGAACGAGATATTCAGAACCCAAGCGAAGAATCACACTTCTCTTTGGTGTTGGTTTGTGCCCATCAAGTTGCCGAGTGCTAGGTGCTAGTGTTTTATTAGTGGTCCTCAACTCCATAGATACCAGAAGCAAAGAACTGAGGGATTGTGCCGACATTTCATTTCATTTTAGGGAAGGGAAGTGCCCATTGTGACTGTGTTGACAGCAGTTTAGGCACTTTGGAGGCCAGGGACCTTAAAGTTGTAGAGCACTGCTCCAGGCCATTGATTCAGGGCCGATCTGGTCAGCCAAACCAGGTGGCAAGAGTTCTTCTTGGAATGTACCAGTTCATATTTCAACAGGTGATGGGAGAATCTCATTTCTGAATACTCCCCCATCAGAAAAAATAAAATAAAATAAATCCTTGCATGCTGAAAAGCAGCACATCAAGAAGATTGTCTGGCTAGAACCTTTCTGCCTGGAGTGCTAGGTTTGGATGTGCAAGGGCTTTCCCCTAACGTTAGAGAACATTCATAACTTTGAGGAGCTACCTGCTGCCTGAAATGGAACAAGCCAGGAAAAAAATTCTACTATATGATTCCAGTGAAACATCGTTTGAGAGAAATTCACTCGCTCTGCTTTTCTGAGTGATACACTAGCAGAATAGCATGTCTACCTCTATTCCTAGAAAAATAAAATATTTAAATATATGTCTCTGTTAATGGGCCAGAATCAGGGGTACACCGCATATAGAACCATTTCTGTTTCTTTATGTTTATAGCTGCAGTTTGAACCCCACTAAATCTGGAGTAGCAAACCCCATTGCATGGGGTTTACTTTTGAGTAGATATGGTTAGTATTGCAGCCTTAATCTCCTTTTCTGGGCCACATGGTCAGCATGCAGAATGGAAGCTGCAAAGCTGGCCATAGGGTAAATCAGTTGTCCAACTGCTCTTCTGCAAGGTGGGACACTGTGGACTGAAAACAGATTGGTTTTTCTTGGATCAGTCAGACAAAAGCATTGCTATGGACAGAACCAGCTGGAAGGCATACCAAGTGAACTCACCATTCAGCAAGGGCAGATTTTGTGTGAACTGGTCCTTAATAGGGGAAACGTTGCCTAAGTCGTTGTAGATAGACAATACACTGGTTCATGGTTGGTGAAAGAATAAAGATTCCTTTGCCCAAACAGCCAAAGGCTCAGTCACTATGAGAGTTTGACTAAGAGCACACCCCACATTTACAGATTCTAATAGGTATAACAGGAATCACTTTCCCCCAGAGAACCCTGGGAATCTTAGTTCTGTGAGCAGGGTTAGTGGAAGCGAAGGAAGCACTATCAGGGAATGTTCATCACCTTTACCAGACTTCATTTCCAAGGATTCTTTGGAGGAAACCAGATCAGTGACGTTGGTACATGCCAACAGAAAGCTCCTATTCATGCTATAGATGAGGTTTCAGAAACCTGCGGCCTCAACTTGAGACCTGGCATTTGGGAAAGAAAGTGGCAGGACATCTCAGCAGCCTTTTGCTGGCATGGAGGGATGAGTAAGACAACACAGTGAGGGAATGCAGACACCCTAAATCTCGTTACACTACCAGTTCACTGAAAATGAAAAGTTTACCTCAGGATTCATGACAAGCCCACTCTCCCCTCACAAGGTTATCTGGTGGGGCTTTCCTTTTGACCGGAAATGCTGGCCACCAGAAACAGTGTTCTCAGTTTGGAACTCCCGACCCAGAAGCCACATTCAACCTGCTCCCTTATTGCTTTAAGAAGATGGCAGAGAAGCAAACGCTTTCAGAGGGCGTTTGTGGCCCTGTGAAGACCAGGAATGTTAGATGTATTGTATTTGTATCTGCTGTTGATTCTTCTCTTATTCTCTATACTTGTAGGGTTTTGGTTTTTTAAAAAAGAATTTAATATAATTAAAGTATGTTTGTTTTGTAAGGGTTTCAGTATGTCATAAACCACCTCTCTTTGAACCTTAGATGGGGCATATGTTTTATGAATGCAAAAATTGTGACCTTACCCCCAAGCTTCTGGGGTTCAAGGGAAAACATACCTAGTATTATCTGTGGAAATATGAAGGTAAGGTTATTGTTGTTTTCAAAAAATTCTAAACTGGATTAAGCAATGTGCTCTAAGTCAGATTTTTAAACATTGATTTAGATGGGGCTTCAGAACGGAGTTGTTCTGCCTGGACATAGCATAACCTTAAAATTGCTTTTCTGGCATTATGGATATATAACGATAGTCAACATTTTGGAAATTAATCTGTCTTTGTACAACAGGTATGGCCAATATGCCAAACTAGAACACAGCAAAGCAATGAACAACACCCCACGCCTGCCACCTCACACCTTAGGATGCTGGATGCTAATAAATCTTATTTTTTTTAAAAAAACACACATTCAGTATGACTGCTCATTTCATCAGCTGGTCTTGCCACTGTCTGGCGAAACTGACTCACTGCTTGGCTGATTTCCAACTGAGCTTTTGTTCTGGGGCCAAGGCAGGTTTGGCCATTCAGACTACAAGAACCCTTCCTTGGGAAACTTTCAATAATAGGACTGAGCTTCACAATTTGCAGGCTCACATGATATATCTGTTGTTAAATCAGAATACAGGTGGGGAATTCAAATATTTAAAGGCATTTTCTGGCTCAACCCCTGTTGCTCCATCCTCACCCCTCCTCTACCCATGAGTACTGGACTCCCTGTGTGATTCTAAATCATGGGGGGAACTGATATGTGCACAGCTAGACCCCTGCTCCAGACCTTCAGCCTCAATGCATGTAGAAGCAGCCCTTTGGAAATGTGACAGTGAGGGTGGGGCCAGTGAGGGCGACACCCATTATTCTGATGGGCCGTAATGCCAGAAGATTTCTATTCAACCATTCAGGTTGGAATTCAATTCAGTCACAAAATCCCATCTGCAGAAGCGTATCAGCTTGCAAAATCGAATGATCCTCTTCCCACTGTGTGTCATTCTGGGGATTCTCCTTACACCATCCCAGACAATTTAGGGGGCAAGCACACACAGGAAGGAGAGGGGGGAAGCCTCGATGCACAAGTTGAAGGCCCCTATCAGTCTCCCACTTCCCTGGTTACCAGTAGTGGTATATATAGACCAGCGACAAACAGGCTTTTCACATGGTCCTGCTGATCATTTGATTCTTTGGAGGTCTTTAAGCAGAGGCTTGACAACCATATGTCAGGAGTGCTCTGATGGTGTTTCCTGCTTGGCAGGGGGTTGGACTCGATGGCCCTTGTGGTCTCTTCCAACTCTATGATTCTATGATTCTATGATTCTATGATTCTATGATCATGTGATTCAGCTCCAATTCCAGGATCAGACCTGGGAATGTTACACATAGAAAACAATGAACACTGAGTTCCACCACACTAGCAAGGTAACCTCAGTTCTGGCCCTGGGACAGAATAAATGTTGGTGTGCAGAAGCTGATCTCCTGAAGTATCTAGAAAGCCAACAGTATCTAGAAAGCCAAAGCACCAAGAGAGAATCTTGCTGCACCTGCTTAACACTTTTGGCTCATCTAGCTCCATATCACCTTCTTGGCTAAGCAACAGCTATCCCAGATCTCAAACACAAACACCCCATCCCCCTGGGATTTCTTACCTCCGCAGTATTGCTACACCAGTGAACTATGGCCCTTCTCTGATCTGGGATAGGCTTCAATGTTTTCAAACTTCAGTTTCACAGGTGAAAAATTGGCCATTGCTCATACCCATTTATTTCTGAAGGGGGTATGAAGAAGGATGCCTCTCACAAGCCAATACAAAGCAGAGAAGCCTCATATCTACATTTTAATAATTGTTTAAGTGACAAGTACCCGCCACCTTGGAGCAGGTTTGCTTTGAAATGAACAACAGGGTGGAATATTGTAGTGTGCACTTCTCCTGCTCCCAGTCTCTCTGTTAAGTAAAGCATTAGAGGTGCGCTTTCGCTTTTTAAGACCTTGGAAATTCAGTGAAGGGACCCCCTGTATCGCCAAGTAAGCATGGTTCCTTTAGCCCTCCCTGTCTGGCCATGAAAAACAACTTGAGGGCTTCCACGTGAGTTGACTGGATAGTGCAGATGATCCAAGTGTCTCCAAACAAGCTGGAGACTTTATAGATTAGAGGAAATGTACTGGCCGACTTTTGTTAAGATAAAAAGGGAAGGCAGCACATTGCAAGCCAAAACTGCAGTTCTATATTCACTTACCCGGGAGGAGTAAATTTCACCATACTAAAAGTGCCTTCATTGGAGATTTTTAAGCAGAGGTTGGATGGCCAACTGCTATGGTTGCTTTAGTTGTGATTCCTGCATTGCAGGGGAGTTGGATTAGATGACCCTCGAGGTCACTTCCAACTTCACAATTCTCTGATATTGTGATTTACTTCTGACAGGCATACATAGGATTGTGCTGTCAAGAAATTTCCTCGCTAGCTTCCTATTATGGCTGTTTTCAAGGCTACGAGACCCTTGCCTAGAAGACTCTGAGGCACGTAGATGCTTTCTTATAAAGTGCAGTTGAATGCAGCTCTTCCACTGACATCTGGGCTGGAATTATGGGCAGTGAATGGTCCAGTTTCAACATTATCTCTTATCAGTGACGAGGAATAATGGGAATAGCAGAAAACAAACATGTGTTTCCATTTCAGCTGGGCTGGAGACGCCCTACAAGGGCAGGGCTTTGCCGAATATCCTCCCATTTCCATTTTGGGGCCAAAAGTCGTGATTTGTGGAGGCTGAAATATTTGTTCCAAAGCAGTGGTTGTGAATATATTCATGGCCCTCATTGTTTTTGACACTGGCCATTGTTCCCTTAGCTGCTCTGCTTATCTGCCACTTCCACCTGCCTCTATCGCCTTCTGGGGTTAGTCAGGCTGGTCACTGGGACAATGCCCTATTGCTATGTAGCCAATCACACTTGGCATTTTGGTGGCATCGCTGAGGACAAATCTAAGAGAGGAATGTTGCTTAGATTAATCATGTAAGTGATCCCAGCCAATCAAGCATCTCACAGGGAACATGGCAATATTACTACATTATGCAGCGGATCGGTTTTGTCTATGTGGTGATGTCGCTGAGGGCAAACCAAGTCAGTTGGAAGAGAGAAGGAGGGTGAACAATGTTATTGGACAGGGGAAGAATTTCACAGGCATTGCCCCGCCCCCATCACCCAAAAGAGGAAGGTGGTTCTTTTTTTATACTATCCAAAAACAGTGAGTACTTTCAACTTAGACCTATAAAGGGCATCCTAATGGGTGCCTTAATTCTCTGTTAGTTACTAATTCAGTAAATGAGGTTGTGTGTGTGTGTGTGTGTGTGTGTGACACCTATCATTCACTGTGGGTGAACCCTCCCTCTTGCTGGGAGACAAAAACGAGCATGCTGTAGTCCCTTTCCTCTGCTTAATGTACACCTGCCTCTGTTTAACATACGCAGAACTATGGCTTTATAATAATAAAAAGTTGTGTAGACTGCAGCTCATTCATCTTTACATCCACTTGGAGGCATCGACTAGATGTGAATATGTACAAATTAAGGGATGGATGGGAGAGGGAGGAGGGTGTGGGTCGGGGTGGGGCTTGAGTAAATGGCAAGGGGCTGGAGCTGTGGGTGGGGAGAGGTTGCGTGATGTGTGGCAAGTATAAATTCCCCATTTGGTCAATGGGAAATCCATTTCCTTTACTGTCCATGGACAGACTGGCAGTCTGTAGCCATTTACTTCTTGAACATGTCCTGGAGGGGACCAGGCAGGTATTTGATAACGGTGTCTAGAATGCTCTCCTCTTCCTCCTCGTCCTCGTCGCCACAGCCAGGGGGGATGGCCTTCTTTGGACGTGTCAGACTCCCTTCGGCATTGGCTTCCAGAGCAGCCTGGGCTTCTGCTTCTCTTTCTTCCTTCTTCTTTATTCCGTACTGCATCAGGGAATAGGGGAGAGGATTGTAGGGAAGTAGAGAGAGGGAGGGAGGGAAGGAAGGGAGGAAAAAACACACAATTTTGTCACTCTCACAGCTAACACCAGGAATTAAAGCAGGAGAGGATGCCGTACCGAATGTTAATATTTGCTTCTTGCAAAGATCTCATCTCTGCCATGGCCTGTTGGTGGTCAATATTGCTGAGCCTTTAAATCAAACAGCCTCTTTAAAATGTCAGGCGAGCCTTGAATGACAAAGCTGAGGAAAGAGGCATGACCCCTAAAAATCAAGGAACATTATATAAAGAAACAAATCCCTCTTAATCCCCTGCTCGGTTGCACAAAAGTTGAATACAGAAGACTGGGGGGGAAAAGTCCCAACCCAACTGGTAATTTACTGAGTGGATTTTCAACCATATGGAATGCTTCTCTGTGGCTGCTCTGGGAAGAATTATTCATCACACACTCTCCAAGTTGCCTTGGGTAGATGAATGTCTGAAGGGTTGATCATGAAGAAGGTGGAGCAGACTTGCCCTCTGTCACTTCAGAGGGAAGGACTATGTCAAGAAATAAGCTACATTTTAGGAGAGCTGTTCTGACATGAAGAGCAGTTTGATGTAGAACGGGCAGCCTTGGGGAGGCAGGGAGCTTTTTCTTCACTGGAGATACTTAACACCAACTTGTCCATCACCTGTCAGGGATGCTGTAGGTGTATCCTAAAGCATGGGTTCTGCATGGCATAGGGAATTGGGTTAGATATGCCCAAGATACCTTCAAACTCTAAAATTTAAGCTTCACCAACCTGGTCCCCTCCAGATGTGTTGAACTATGACTCCTACAAGCCCCTGCTGGATGGAGGTGATGAGAGCTGTGTTCCAAAACATCTGGAGTACACTAGGTTGGCAAAGAGTGCTATACTGTAGTTCTGGTGTCTACCAGCTCCATCTGGTACGCAGGCTGAGACCCTACCTACCCGCAGACTGTCTCGCCAGAGTGGCGCATGCTCTAGTTATCTCCTGCTTGGACTACTGCAATGTGCTCTACATGGGGCTACCTTTGAAGGTGACCCAGAAACTACAACTAATCCAGAATGTGGCAGCTAGACTGGTGGCTGGGAGGGGCCGCCGAGACCATATAACACCATTCCTGAAAGACCGACATTGGCTCCCAGTACATTTCTGAGTACAATTCAAAGTGTTGATGCTGACCTTTAAAGCCCTAAATGGCCTCAGCCCTGTATACCTGAAGGAGCATATAAGCCCCAATCGTTCAGCCCAGACACTGAGGTCCAGCACTGAGGGCCTTCTGGTGGTTCCCTCACTGCGAGAAGTGAGGTTACAGGGAACCAGGCAGAGGCCCTTCTCGGTAGTGGCACCCGCCCTGTGGAACGCCCTCCCATCAGATGTCAAGGAAATAAACAGCTATCCGACTTTTAGAAGACACTTGAAGGCAGCCCTGTTTAGGGAAGTTTTTAAGGTTTGATGTTTTATTGTGTTTTTAATATTCTGTTGGGAGCCACCCAGAGTGGCTGGGGAAACCCAGCCAGATAGACAGGGAATATATAATTGTTGTTGTTGTTGTTGTATGACAGCATTGGGTGGTATAATCAAAGTTTGACAATTATGCTAGATTTTAACTTTGGGTATGAGCAGTTGAGAATTTCCAGTCCCATTTGAGCCCACAGCTAGGGTTGGGAAAGACTCCCTGTCTGAAACCTTGGAGAGCTAGTGCAGACCGTACGAATGTAGATGGACCAACGGTCTGACTTTGCAGCTTCCTGTGTTCTTATGTAACAGCTTCTGTACTTTCATCATTATATAAAAAGGGAAATGCTGTAGGGTATGTTTAGCCTGGAAAAGAGACTGAGAGGAGATTTGAAAGCCATCTTCAAATATCTCAAGGACTGTCACAAGGAAGATGGAGCAAGCTTGTTCTTTACTGCTCCAGAGGGTACGACCCAAACCAGTGGGTTCAAGTTACAAGAAAGGAGATTCCGACTAAATATCAGGAAGAACTTTGTGGCAGTAAGAGCTGTTCAACAGTGGAACAGACACCCTTGGAAGGTGATGGACCCTCCTTCCTTGAAGACTTTTAAGAAGAGGTTAAATGGCCATCTGTCATGGATGCTTTAGTTGAGATTCCTGCAGTGCAAGGGGTTGGAATAGATTACCCCCAGGTTCCCTTCCAACTCTACAATTTATGAGTCTATGTAGCTGTTGCATAATAAAATGTTGGCATATTTTTTAAAAGGACTCCCTAGAAATAAACAGTCTAGCATTTTAAAAATGAAATCAGTTAGCAATCCAGATCCCTTCAGCTCAGACTTACGTGAAAATCTATAGCTTGGGAAATGACCTGCTTTTGGCCACTCCAAGCCATTTCAATTACGCTGAATTAAGAAGGCACTTCACGAGTGAAAGGGCACAGAGGGTGTCAGATTATCTCCTGCAAAAGAACTCATCCATCTGATCCAAAAGTAATCGCTTTGTCTGAATGATCCACACCTTTCTTTTCACTTTTGCATTCTAATTAAGCCACGTGCTGGAATCAAGATGTAATTCAATATACATGATTCGCGGGATAACTGGTAGGGACAAACTCTCTGCAAAAGCTAGCAAAACACTCGACGAGAAGGAGCAGCTTCGAAAAGCAAAAAAGAAAATTACATGGGATTTACAAAGGGATCAAGGGATTATCCTGGGACAAACTCTTCAGTGTTTCCCCTGGACTGATTATTGTAAACTGCAGGTGCTCTTTTGACAGCCGGTCTGCTGAAACTCCCTCCCGCATTAATGTGACCAGCCAAGTGTCAATAACTCAACTCCACTTTTTCATAAACTCCACCGGGGAACAAGGTACACTCAACATGACTCCAGTTCCTATGAGACTCTTCTTTGTGTTCCTCCTCCACTAGAGCTCTGGATGGTGACAACATGAGAATGGGCCTTTTCTGCTGTGGCTCCCCATTTGTAGAATGCTCTCCCCAGGGAGTTTCGGCTGGTGCCTTCATAATACCAGTTTAGGTGCCAGGAGAAGACATTCCTCTTCAACCAGGCTTTGGGCTGCTTGACATTCGATGCCCTTTTAAATGTATTGTGGCAGGGGGCTTATTGGTTTGTTTCTGTTTTTGTTTTTATTATGTATTTTGCATTCTTTATATGTAACTTTACATTGTGAACCACCCAGAGTTCTGCAGAAAAAGGGTGGTATACAATATTATTATTATTATTAGCCAAGAGGAGTGCCAGAATAGCTCCACTGGCAACTTTGCATCCCTCTGTGATTCATCACCATCATCATCATTTTATTTGCACCCTGTCCATCTAACTGGGCTGCCAATAAACTCCTTGCTACTTAATAAACGTTTTCCTACAATTTTCTATTTCTGTTCTTTTTAATCCCTCCCTTGTTTCAGGCAGAGCAGTTGAGGTGGGTGGAGATGGGTTCACATTTTGAGCTGCTGAATCGCAGAGGGGTGCAAACTCACCAGTGGAGCTGTTCTGGCACTCCTCTTGGTGCCGTCCTCCCCATAGCCTCTCCTACCCTCTTCTCCTTCCTGGTAAGCAGCAAGTTGTTGGGAAAGCAATGCTGGTAAAGTGCTTATTGAGCTGTGCCGAAAATAACCAAATAAGGCCCAGCATGCCCTGCCTTTCCCCACTCTCTGACCAGACCCTTGGGATGCAGGTGGCACTGTGAGTTAAACCACAGAGCCTAGGACTTGCCGATTGGAAGGTCGGAGGTTTGAATCCCGGCGATGGGGTGAGCTCCCGTTGCTCGGTCCAGCTCCTGCCAACCTAGCAGTTCGAAAGCATGCCAAAGTGCAAGTAGATAAATAGGTACCACTCTGGTGGGAAGGTAAAAGGCATTTCCATGCGCTGCTCTGGTTCACCAGAAGGAGCTTAGTCATGCTGGCCACATGACCCGGAAGCTGTATGCTGGCTCCCTTGGCCAATAAAGCGAGATGAGCGCCGCAACCCCAGAGTCGGTCACGACTGGACCTAATGGTCAGGGGCTCCTTTACCTTTACCTTCGATGCCTTTAAATGTATTGTGGCAGGCACCCTGAGCCCTCATTCTCACTTGGAGCCCTAGTGGTCACCATCCTTGACCTTGCATAAGGCTCACAGGATTACCAAGGGGCAATGCTACAATGGGTCAACAGCCAAGTGGCTGTGTGGCTCTCAGCACATGACAGTGTTGCAAAGGGGTAAGCCCACCAAAGCCCAAAGCAAGAGGGACCAGTGACCTGACTCGGTTTAAGGCAGTTAATACATTCCTTTGATAAGAAATGATTCTGTTTTGCTCTTTTGGTTAATTTCCCCAGTACTCCTTGCTTTCCTTCCACCATCCAAATGACCCTAACCTGTTCCCTGCTAAGGTTCTTCCTACTGTGATTACAGATTTTGGCAAACCACACGGGTATTGTTGGGACTTGAAATAAATTGACACTGCCAGCTGGATGTCATTGCTGACCTTTAGCGCCACATGCCCTGGAACACAAATGCTCACTGGCATATGGGGATGTTTAAAGGGGTGGAGAGGGGATCGACTTTGGAGAAAGGAGCTCTTCCAACAAGAAATTCATCTTTCATTGATAATCAGCTGGCATAAACTACTCCAGATAAAGGGAGCAGGGAAGCCACACCTTAGTTGCTCTGTTTTGATTGCAATTTGATATGTATTGTATAACCATCTGGAGCACTTTCATCTGTAGCTACATTTTGTGGACTTCCTCTGACATTATGGCTTTCCTTTGCAGGAGTGTACACATGCAAGGGCTGTACACCGATTCCTCAAATCTGATTTCTGAGCCTGATCTGTAGTTCTGGATTGGACCTGATTCAGACCAGATCAATCTGAACATCATCTGGTCTGCCCCAGATAACAAAATACAAATATTTGGAAATCGGTTTGATTTGCATTGGGAAACCAAAATAACCATACCTTTTCTGTTTTCTACCAAATCTGCAGACATGCCAGCCCTACAAAATTGTAACACTGC